AATATTTCTATTAGTTCTCGCACTGAAGGCCCGGCCACAGCTTCCGCCATTTTAGCGATATAAAAAAGCGATACGATATAAACACTACGATTAAAAAGTACTTATTTTTAAGTTATCACGAAAAAGCTTGAACCGGAAGAAGCTTTAATTATTAATAAAAGGAAGGGGCTATAATTCCGGTTAAATATTGGATTGAAATTTTGCTATCGGGCCGTGTTTCTAATAGGCCGATTTTTTCGGCCGCAACAGTACAGAACGAGAATATAGGCCGATTTCGTCGGCCGACCACAGTTCGAGGGTTAAATAACAACGAAAAACTCAAACAAGCATTTCACTAACTTCAGGACTGAAACAATTACCTACGATTCACGATGAATGTAAAAAACAACAAATGTCCATTGATTTGGATCAATAAAAATATCTTATCTTAAGGGTCCAGACTTTAGGTGGTATCACTGATCCTCAACACGCCAGGCTTGAGGGATAATCTTAATGACCCCATCACTTCATGCTTGAGGGATAATCTTAATGAACCCATCACTTCATGCTTTGTATCACTTTACTGACCTCAAAACCACAGGTCTCAGATTATCTTATGGATGCCATTACAGCAGGCTTGGGATAATCATAATGACCACAAAACCCCATTATAATATACTGACCCCAATACTCTAGTCTTGATTTCATTGACCCACTACTCTAGTCTTGATTTCATTGACCTACTACTTTGTCTTGATTTCATTGACCAAATACTCCAGTCTTGATTTCATTGACCAAATACTCCAGTCTTGATTTCATTGACCCACTACTCCAGTCTTGATTTCATTGACCCACTACTCTAGTCTTGATTTCATTGACCCACTACTCTAGTCTTGATTTCTTTGACCAAAGACTCCAGTCTTGATTTCATTGACCCACTACTCTAGTCTTGATTTCATTGACCCACTACTCTAGTCTTGATTTCATTGACCCACTACTCCAGTCTTGATTTCATTGACCCACTACTCTAGTCTTGATTTCATTGACCCACTACTCTAGTCTTGATTTCTTTGACCAAATACTCCAGTCTTGATTTCATTGACCAAATACTCCAGTCTTGATTTCATTGACCCACTACTCTAGTCTTGATTTCATTGGCCAAATACTCCAGTCTTGATTTCATTGACCCACTACTCAAGTCTTGATTTCATTGACCAAATACTCCAGTCTTGATTTCATTGACCCACTACTCCAATCTTGATTTCATTGACCAAATACTCCAGTCCTAATTTCATTGACCCACTACTCCAGTCTTGATTTCATTGACCAAATACTCCAGTCTTGATTTCATTGACCCACTACTCCAATCTTGATTTCATTGACCAAATACTCCAGTCCTAATTTCATTGACCAAATACTCCAGTCTTGATTTCATTGACCAAATACTCCAGTCTTGATTTCATTGACCCACTACTCTAGTCTTGATTTCATTGACCCACTACTCTAGTCTTGATTTCATTGACCCACTACTCTAGTCTTGATTTCATTGACCCACTACTCTAGTCTTGATTTCATTGACCCACTACTCTAGTCTTGATTTCATTGACCCACTACTCTAGTCTTGATTTCATTGACCCACTACTCTAGTCTTGATTTCATTGACCCACTACCCCAGTCTTGATTTCATTGACCCACTACTCCAATCTTGATTTCATTGACCAAATACTCCAGTCTTGATTTCATTGACCCACTACTCTAGTCTTGATTTCATTGACCCACTACTCTAGTCTTGATTTCATTGACCCACTACTCTAGTCTTGATTTCTTTGACCAAAGACTCCAGTCTTGATTTCATTGACCCACTACTCCAGTCTTGATTTCATTGACCCACTACTCCAGTCTTGATTTCATTGACCCACTACTCTAGTCTTGATTTCATTGACCAAATACTCCAGTCTTGATTTCATTGACCAAATACTCCAGTCTTGATTTCATTGACCCACTACTCTAGTCTTGATTTCATTGACCCACTACTCTAGTCTTGATTTCATTGACCAAATACTCCAGTCTTGATTTCATTGACCCACTACTCTAGTCTTGATTTCATTGACCCACTACTCTAGTCTTGATTTCATTGACCCACTACTCCAGTCTTGATTTCATTGACCCACTACTCCAGTCTTGATTTCATTGACCCACTACTCTAGTCTTGATTTCATTGACCCACTACTCCAGTCTTGATTTCATTGACCCACTTCTCCAGTCTTGATTTCATTGACCCACTACTCTAGTCTTGATTTCATTGACCCACTACTCTAGTCTTGATTTCATTGACCCAATACTCCAGTCTTGATTTCATTGACCCACTACTCCAGTCTTGATTTCATTGACCCACTACTCTAGTCTTGATTTCATTGACCCACTACTCTAGTCTTCATTTCATTGACCCACTACTCTAGTCTTGATTTCATTGACCCACTACTCTAGTCTTGATTTCATTGACCCACTACTCTAGTCTTGATTTCATTGACCAAGTACTTCAGTCTTGATTTCATTGACCCCAAAACTCGAGTCTTGAGATTATCATACCGTTCTCAATAGTCCAAGACATAAAGTCAACGTAATGACCTCGATGCTCCTGACAAGAGGCCAACATAATGACTTCAGAGTTCAATACTCAAGACCAGGCCTGCACAACATATGTAACGAAATAACACCCCCCCCCCTATTCTTTTGGCCCGCGCAAGTCCTTTCCTATTTTCTTTTGGCCCGCACAAGTCTTTCATAATGTATTACAGCCAGCTTTACATTTTTTTTGAGTTGTGCAGGCCTGCTCAAGACTATAATATTGCAGACCAACTGACTGAGCCCAATCCTAGCCATCATCTCATTCATATTTCAGTCCTTGTTGGCTTACTGTTGCCTTCTGACTTGTTAGCTTACTGTTCCCTTCTGACTTGTTGGCTTACTGTTGCCTTCTGACTTGGGTCGGTCTATCCGCTGATTATGCTGAGCTTTATTTCTTTTCTTTTTTTTAAATTCTGCAACGTGGAGATCAAATATTCAAGTCTTTGATAAACAGAATGAAATCATTTAGAAAAATCGCATAACAGGAAGCGTGAAAAGCTCTTTGATCCAACATTACTACAGAGTACCAGCAGCCATAAACAGCTATTGACATTTATGTTAATAAATGTTAACTTACAACACTGTGTAGTATTTGTAAATAAGCTGTATACTTTGAAGCATGTTTTTAATACTTGTCAACAAAACATCCATGGCTTGTATGCATCCTAAGAAATAATCATGAATTGTGTTGTTATCTAAATTGTAAAGGTAGCCCCCCCCCCCCAAAAAAAAAGTTGAAGAACTCATCCTATTCCTAACAACAATTAATGAGCTTCTGAGCTCAAAGACACAAGGCAAACACTATGGAAGATTATTTCTGAGTTCAAAGACACAAGGCAAACACTATGGAAGATTATTTCTGAGATCAAAGACACAAGGCAAACACTATGGAAGATTATTTCTGAGATCAAAGACACAAGGCAAACAACATGGAAGATTATTTGTGAAGCAAACCCATTAGTCCAGAGTTTTTATATCAGCTGGATGAGCTAACTTCCTAGCAGTAAGAAATCCTTGGTTCCTGCAAGTTGGAATCAAGTGTTATCACTTACAAGACGGCTAGAACTTAGCAATAACAAATCTTTGGTCCCTGGAAGTTTGGATCAAATGTTGTCACTTACAAGACGGCTAGAACTTAGCAGTAACAAATCTTTGGTCCCTGGAAGTTTGGATCAAATGTTGTCACTTACAAGACGGCTACAAATTAGCCATAGATACCAGGGGGTGTCTTGGTGCTTAATTCAAAGGCATCACTGAAGACGTAATTTACATAATTTATTTCGTAATAATTTCTTAATGCAATAAAAATGAAATTGGTATCAAAATAGACTGTATTCAAGCTCTATTCATTTGAGCTATTGCCAGTTATACTCATTTCCTGGCCGGTTAGATGTAGAGAAAAACAATGAGATACAAGGTTTCTTTTTTGCGACCATTTTCATATATTACATATAATTGTCAGAGTGAATTTAGAATTTTATTTGGATGGAAATCCCAGATTGACTGATACATCAATGTCATGATTGAGACAGTTTAGGAAGGGCTAATTCAATTAAAGTAATAGTTCAGTATGAACGATAAAGTTTGGTTTTATTATTAAATAGGTAAACTGAGCTGATATAATGAAATTGGTCAAATAAAATATGTCTAAAGGATGTGTACATCCAGTGGTTAAAAGATGTCAATGTATTTTAAATAAGTTAGTGAGCCGATTTCAATTACATGCAGTGAAATTCTATGTCCCAAGGATATACTGTGAATTATAGAGATTGAGAGAAGGATCAGACAGATGTTGAGAGCTTGAGGTGTACTGGACATGTAGTATATTTGGATAGAGAGACCGTCCTCATTGTTTTCCAGATATATTCAAGCCTAGTTTGCTATTGTGAACTCATGTACCCTGGTAACTAGCAGTGCAAATAAACTATTCAATAGTGGTAACTTTGCTTTGGCGTTTTATTAGCATTTCATAAACTCAACCTTCTGCATCCATCACTCAAGCCCTTCTGTAACAACCAGTCTACATCCATCACTCAAGCCTTCTGTAACAACCAGTCTGCATCCATCACTCAAGCCCTTCTGTAACAACCAGTCTACATCCATCACTCAAGCCCTTCTGTAACAACCAGTCTACATCCATCACTCAAGCCCTTCTGTAACAACCAGTCTACATCCATCACCCAAGCCCTTCTGTAACAACCAGTCTACATCCATCACTCAAGCCCTTCTGTAACAACCAGTCTGCATCCATCACTCAAGCCCTTCTGTAACAACCAGTCTACATCCATCACTCAAGCCCTTCTGTAACAACCAGTCTACATCCATCACTCAAGCCCTTCTGTAACAACCAGTCTACATCCATCACCCAAGCCCTTCTGTAACAACCAGTCTACATCCATCACTCAAGCCCTTCTGTAACAACCAGTCTGCATCCATCACTCAAGCCCTTCTGTAACAACCAGTCTACATCCATCACTCAAGCCCTTCTGTAACAACCAGTCTACATCCATCACTCAAGCCCTTCTGTAACAACCAGTCTACATCCATCACTCAAGCCTTCTGTAACCACCAGTCTACATCCATCACTCAAGCCTTCTGTAACAACCAGTCTGCATCCATCACTCAAGCCTTTCGGTAACAACCAGAAATCACCCAAGCCTTCAGTTTCAGTAACAACTGGACATCTAATAGCCTGAGATATTGCAAACCACAAATATCTTTGAGGCCAACAAAAACCACTTAGTATTTAACAAATATAAAATCAATTTTCCTTAAACATGAGTACCGGTATAGTATCCCAGTAGTTTGACTACGGTATTCCAGTAGTTTGTCATAGTTTGACTACAGTATCCAGTAGTTTGCCATAGTTTGACTTCAGTATTCCAGGAGTTTGCCATAGTTGACTACGGTATTCCAGTAGTTTGCCATAGTTTGACTATGGCATTTCAGTAGTTTGCCATAGTTTGACTATGGTAATACAGCAGTTTGCCATAATTTTACATCAGTATTCCAGTAGTTTGCAATAGTTTGACTATGGTATTCCAGTACTTTGCAATAGTTTGACTACAGTATTCCAGTAGTTTGCCATAGTTTGACTATGGTATTCCAGTAGTTTGCCATAGTTTAACACTTGTACAGTCAAAACTTTCCTCAAAAGGTCAATATAACACATACCAATTATAAATGCAATTCACTTTATTTCCTGTTTTTCGGTCACAAGATTGATTTTTTAAAGATTTTTGTCCTGAACAAACACATTGTTGACTGAGGGATCTCACAGATGCTAATGAATTGATGACTTTTTCAGGTGTCTCACAGATGCTAGCACGAAACCATACAAAAACACTAGTGTGGCCATAATTATAAGAAATCCAGCAGGGCCAAACTCAAATATGAAAGATATAATGACATAGGTTATTGCCAACTTCACCAGGAAGTGATAACTGGCTAGAAATCGAAGGCTGATGTGAGGTTGCTGAGACCAGATCAAATGAGCAGTTTGGACAGTGACTGGGGAGTGAAATTTATGCTGTATATCTTGTAGAGTTGTTGGTGGGATGAGAAACACCTGCGCAAATCGTCCAGCAAACTTTTGAGAGTTGTACAAGGAAATCATTTCTGACCTGAACTGGAAGTATATAATTCAAAGCAACAATAAGACTAACTGGCTTACTTAAAGTTGGATGAGCTATGTACATTAGTTATATACTTGTGTACTTACATAGCTGTTGATGAATTATATACACTATTGTATTATTGTAAATAGATAAGAGTTAATGAAGTATGTTTTGTATTGTAGTGTACACGACTAGTACTATATTTGAGTTGTACATTTACATAAGATTTGATGAACTTTGTAAAGTGATATAGTGGTGTACTTAGATAAGACTAGAGTTAATGAGCTATGCACACTTATAAATGTGTGTACTTACATAAGAATTAATGAATGAGCAGAAATAGAAGAGCACACGCACAAGAGAAGCATTCTCATAACTTCTGATGGGGAGAAGGTCAGGGTCACCAACATAAAACTTGTCAAATTTCCTTTGTTTGTTGATCAACTGAAAATAAAATGTACCAGTGGCTGAGATCAAAGTTGAACAATTTAAATTGAACAAAAGAATAGTTCCATTATCTAAAGCCATATTTCCCAACTCTTGCTAGTGTATGATTACAAATAGGCCAATATTTCTCAACATCTGAAAATGTACCGGTATGATTATAAATAAAGCAATATTTCCCACCTCCTGCAAATTTATGAATATAGTATAAATCAGGCCTGCACGACATATGGCCAGTTGGCTGCATGCGGCCCGCCAGCACCCACTTTGTGGCCCGCGAAGACTTTGGTGAAAACTCATATTATAAATTAAAAATAATATTCCCTTGTCTTTTATTGATTTATAATGTTACAAAAAAATAATAAAAATACCTATTTCATTTTTAAATAATCAAATTTTTAATTTATTTTTTTATTTTTCCCCACGTATACTTGAAATGAATGTTTGTTATTAAATCAAATTAAATTACTAAATACGTTTCCTTTGGTAAATATTCACTACATGTTTTCTTTCCTTGTAAGGATATTTTCACACATGCACTCTTTTCCCGCACATTACTCTTTTGTGTGTGAAATCGACTATGGTTTCCTGTAGGTATGTATTCTTAATCAACATAACCTACTCGGTAGCGTAAGTGTTTTCAAAAAGTAGTGCCTTCTGTGCAGAGTAGCCTTTTACTATTTTTGTAATATTGTGTAGAAATGTGTAGTGTTGTGTAGAACTCACATATTACGTAATTTTGATATTCTGTGCTTTTAGTGGGGTAATATATATTTATAGATGCGTACTTGAAATATTTAAATGTCATGAATCAAGCAGAATCAGAAAGAGAAAACTAGATACAGAGCGCAGAATTTTTAATTATAATTGGACAAATAAATAATTATTTAAGTGTTCAAGGACAAAACACTGTGCCTCGTATATAGTGACACAGTTGCTGTGCCTTGTATGTCATGACACAGTTGCTGTGCCTCGTATGTCCTGTTTCTGCCTGTTTTTTCACCCACTCCTATTTTTTCTCCCCTTTTTAGGTAGGATCTGTATATATATATATAATGTAAATTTAATTGTCTTTATTTGTCTTTTTTTTGTTGTACTGATGAAGGCATGTGCCGAAACGTATACTTTTGTATTCTGTAAAATTATTATTAAAGCTTACCTTATATTGTTTTATTGACACAAATTGTTGGTGTCTATTTAATCTATGTCCTGACACAGTTGCTGTGCCTTGTATATCGTGACACAGTTACTGTGCCTTGTATGTCCTGACACAGTTGCTGTGCCTTGTATGTCATGACACAGTTGCTGTGCCTTGTATGTCGTGACACAGCTGCTGTGCCTTGTATGTCATGACACAGTTACTGTGCCTTGTATGCCATTACACAGTTGTGCCTTGTATGTCATGACACAGTTGCTGTGCCTTGTATGTCGTGACAGTTGCTGTGCCTTGTATGTCATGACACTGTTGCTGTGCCTTGTATGTCGTGACAGGGAGGGAGAGTGTGTGTGTGTGTGCATGTGGTAATGATTTGATTTTTGTATGTGCATAATATAAGGATAGCCCCTTCTAATCAGTTTAATACCAACACCTATTTGCACACAATTAGGAAATTTCGTTACCTGTCTCCGACCCAGATCTGTCAGTTTGAGACCATCCTCTGTCTCCACACAATCTGGAAACTCCTGGTCTGGTTCCGAAAGGTACATGGACTCATTGGCAATGGATGTATTGAGGGGTGAGTGATGGGAATGTGGATCTGACACATACACTGGTTTAGTTAACTGTGGATAAACATGCTACAGTTTTAATATGTCAAAAGGTTTAAATTCTCACCCCCCTTTAACTGATAAACAACGTTCGATGCTGCTGGGCGCTGTCCATGGCTAGACGGGTAGATACCACTTGGGTGGATGAGGTCAAACTTTTCATCAATTATTGTTGTCACGGTCATAATCGCATGTTTATGTTATGTGTCTGGTTAAATAATTTTAACATCAAGCAATGATGTTTTTCCTTTGGAACTCTCCCATATTTCGCACCACTTTGACTCGGTCATGAAAGCCCCATGACGCATTTCCAGTGGTGCGATATAGGAATACAGAGAATTGTTATGGAGTCAGGCTGTATGTGGTTTAAGAAATGAGTGACTGATTTGTTGCACTGGAACCTGGAAACTCCATTGTTTCACATGTGAAAAGTATTGTTGCTTGTTGGTTTGTTGTTAAGGCATAAATGAGTAAAGTAATTATGTCCCTTAGTGCGTGACATCGATATAGCAAAATACCCCTAGATACAAGCAAGTGTCTTCTTCTATATTTTCTTCTATATTTTGAGATCAATGGATTGATCATTCTGGCTCCTATTTTTCAGAGGGGTTCACAATGTTAGGTGTGACACTCATCAGTGAGTTGTTCCAACACCCCCTAATATAAAAGTCATTCCACCACCAAGCTTGCTAAGGAACTCCTTGCCACCATTTTATTTGGTGGAAAGTGGTTTTAGCTCCATTGTCCAGCAAGACAAAGAAAGAGCATAGAAGTATGAAAATAGTTAGAGACTTTAAACCAGGCACTGAACAACTGTTAAAAATTTACCATGCCCATGCATTATGACATTAAAAATAACTGACCAGTGAAAATGTTCAGCTGTCTAAAAAAATCTTGCTTAATAAATATCTTACCTACAAAGTCTAAGGCATCGTTTGATCAAATAATTCAGCTTAGTAATGATGTAATACAAATAACAAGTTTCTTTGATTACATAATTTTCAAATATATGTTACGAATCAACAATTAATTTTGTAGTTATCTACTATAAAGGATCGTGCAAATTTGTATTCTGAGCATTGCTTATATTAGGGTAAGACATGGAGGCATTCAGGGTAAGTTCATGGCCATAAGGGGGCAATGGCTGTAAAAAGTTTGAGAACCCCTAGACTTATTAAATGTAGATTACCAGCAGATTTTAAATTTTCGTTTACTAGTTATGTTTGATAATACTATTACTAACCAAAGCTAGTTGATGATGGCAATCATAAGTAATATCAAAGATAATCAATAAGAATTTTATATTAAAAAATAATCAGCACGGAAATAGGACTGAAAATGCTTGCTAACTTTTGTTTACTGGCCTAGCCCAAATCTAAGGGGAAACACAATCTCAGAACTTAGATCCTGACAACTCTTAACAGAAAAAAAATGCACTGATGAAGAAACCAAATACTCACATTAAATATAGTGCAAAAGTTCATGATGGCCTGCTCCAAATGTCCAGGTAGTCGTTTATACTCTGGTGACAAATATACATTACGGGTGCCGTTATCTAAGCCAAAGATAGAGGAGAAAAAGCCAGCATTCCTCTCTGGTTTTGTGCTTGCAATTTGCTGGGATCTGACAAAGTCAAGGGCCTCACAAAGTTGTCCAACAACTTTCATCATCTGTAGGAGTTAACATTTGATCATATAGCCTTGACAATAAATAGCTTATTACTAGAGTATTCTAAATTTCATCGATAAGAAAAACTGTTCTTTTTTTTACTCTGCACATCCCTCATGCATAAATTGGAGTGGGCTTGATGCCTTGTTTCCAAGCTGAAGACGTCTTGATGAAATCTCTCTCCATGCTCATCACTTTCATCAACCCAGTTTATTATTAAAATAATTCCAGATGAGAATGTAAAACTATAATTTTATTGAAATAAGGCAACAAATAGCACATAGGCTATTTACTATTACCAGTACCATGTTGATAAAGAGTTCAGCATAGTTCTTAGCTCTGTGATTAAGAGAGCTTAGCACTTCCAACGTACATGCATCTATTAGCATGTTGATAGTGAGTTAAGTATAGTTCTTAGCTCTGTGATTCACAAGAGAGTTTTGCGCCTCCAACGTACATGCATCTTGAGCGGCACATTCAATTGGGTTCAGCTAGGTTCTAAATACAAGATCACTCTTCAGTTCGCAGATTTCCGGGCCAATAAAAATTTCATCCAAGCATCAGTTTTGACCGTTCCAAGTTTCTCTTTCAGATTCTCAAAACCTTGATCATTACCATCCATTGCAACTATCACATTTTTCACCAGGCCCAGTTTAATGTGAAGTGGTGGTAAGTACATTTTCAATGGATCAACACATGATTTGTATTGCAAGTTGTGCCAACAATGTGCTCAGATCTATGAAGCCACTGTTTCTCTGTGCAATGGTTGTGTTACAACTAGTCCACAAGTTAAAAAAGCACCCCCAAAAAAAGCACATGTTTTGTGAACGGCAGCTGTAGGCCTAAATGTAGTGCTACCACTTTCAGGTCAGCACAGATGTTTCCGTTGTGTTCTGGGCAGTTGACCACTTTGAGGTCAGCACAGATGTTTCCATTGTGTTCTGGGCAGTTGACCACTTTCAGGTCAGCACAGATGTTTCCGTTGTGTTGTGGGTAGTTGACCACTTTCAGGTCAGCACAGATGTTCAGTTGTGTTCTGGGCAGTTGATCTTTTTCCAAATGAGTTTCATTGAATCATATATCTCTGGACCTTACACTATGAGCTATAGAACATTAACAATTTTTATATCATTGCAAAACAACACAGATTTTAAGCTTGTCTTGCTGAAATCTATAAAACACTTCTACTGATCAGAAACATATTCACAATCTTACTTCAGTATGTGACCATTCAAATCAGAAATCATTTTCCAGTTTCATAACTTATAATCTAGACGCGCTAGGCAGATTCTGACTTCAGAGCTTTAATCCAAATATTCCTCATGTTTTACTGTTCCATGAATCTGAGTTAATCTCAGCTAGTCCTCAGTTGGGTGGATAAATAAGCAAGCAATGTCATAACAAATGAACCATCGATGTGTGAATGAATAGGCACGCAATGTCTCAACCCATTAAATTCAGGGTGCTGAGAAAGTGTATCATTTGAAAGCCCTTCCAAAGGAAAATGACTCCCTTCCACCTTTAGCCTAAATGAGGTTTGAAAATGTTTTCAAAATAAACTTCTTTGTAATTCACTGGTTAGCATTCATTATACGCTGCTTTGTGTGTTGTACGACATTGTTTCCCAATGCTTTGGTTGTCTCAATACTGAAATTTAAGGTACGACAAATTCCTCGACTTCTCATGAATATAAATAAAAATAAGTAAATTTGCTGTTAAAATAATGACTACTCTTCAAATCATCAATAAAAATTAACAAAAATAGATAATCTCCTTTGGTCTGGTTTCTTGACAGATTTTTATTAAAATGGTGAGATTAGCTTTCTACATAGCAACGTGTAAACAGCAAGTTGAGTTGCCGGATCTGGCCGTTACAGAGTAATATATGTCAGATTTTTCCATTACGGGTTGATTGGGTTAATAAATGACCCAGCTCTGTGTTAATAAGTAGGCATGCAATGTCTTAATAAATGAAGGACTGGCTATGACTTACATTTTCTTTCATTGCGTCACTGAAGAATGAATTATACTGAAAGTTGGGACCCTCCAACTCCAGCATATATGAAGGCAAGACAAAAGGTATGTGCAGGCTTTGACCTGACAAGTAACTTCCCCCTTGGTCATACTGACTTGCAACATTTCCATATAATTGAGACTCAGCTGTAAATATACAATCAATCAAATTAATAATATGTTAAAGGCCCAACACATATTATGTATGCACGCAGTAGGGGTAGGGTAAACCATTTAGGAGACACAAAAGTTTGTCTGCCTAGGCACACCCGAAACTCCCAATTTAGTACTATATAGTCTCAGAATAGTAGTTGACCATCTCAAAATCATCAAATAATTTCTTGTAATATTGAATAAATAAAGTATTATGCATACAATAACTACTCGCATCGCATGTGTAATAACACGGTAACTTCTCAAAGTAGATGACTGACGTTCATATATTTATATACAGTGCATTATTGCAAATAAAAATATACACATCATTAGCCACTTTGATAGACAATGATGTGGTGGGGGAGTGGAATTTGAGGACACCCAAGTCAGTCGAATAAAGTGGGGATGGGATTTGTGGAGGAGGCTGAGCCCCCTGCCCAGTTTTTTTTTTTAAAAATTGAAAATGCAGGGATACCCTTTTGTGTATACCTGACCAAAGATTTGCACCATACAAGAATTAACCATAATGCTTTGTGAAAAATTAGATTCCCTTTTACCTAGCTTTGTTTACATAAATCCTTTTTATTTTAGTACTTATTAAATAGTAACATTGTTTTATAATCTCTTACTTATTTTAGTCTATTTATTTTCAATCTATCCATTTTCAATCCATCCACTCACCCATCCATCTATCTATCTATCTAAATCAAACAATCAATCAATCAATCTATCTATCTAATATATCTATCTATCTACCTTACCACCCACCCACCCATATATATAAAATGACATTTATGACACAAATTAAAATAATCCAAATTCATTTCTGATACAGCTGGCTGGCCACCCAACATTTAACATGGCAGGATGTGGGTCGCTCACCCCTGCACTGAACCTAGGACTAGAGCCTGATTTTATTTCCCCATTAACAAATTGTGGTCTACAACTACAGCATGCTTTGGACAATGCACAATAACGTACAGAAATAAAATATTTTCAAATCCCTTCCTGCACCCTGTCAACGTTAGGGGCAGTCCATATTATTATATTACGTATGCAAGGTGTAGCATAATGACAGCGTGGGGGTGGGGGGGGGGTGTGTCACCAGAATGGACCTATATTTATGCGTGAATTCTACAATAATTATCATGACTCTCTCAAATAGAGCCAACTGACACCTAAAAATCTGTTAAATCCATAATTTCTTATAAGGCCTATTAAGGCTATAAAAATATCAACATGTGTTTTCATAAAAAGCTCGCCAGATATAGCTGTAGCAAAATTTAACCTAGTGACAACCCACTGTTGTCTTTCCTGGTGACATACTTATTGCCTTGGGTGACCAACCTCCTCCCACCCTCAATCTTGGGAGGGGGGGGGGGAAATGTTTAAAAAAATGTTGAATTATTTCTCTATAAATGTGTTTTTGATGATACCTTTCGGGCATTACCCATGTTAGTGATAATTATGATAGTGGAGCTAGCAGTTCATGCTCTAATAGTGGAGCTAGCAGTTCATGCTCTAATAGTGGAAGTAGTGGAGATTAAGGTACTCATGAAATAATAGTCACCAGAAAATTATTTTACTATAAACCCAAATAACTTCACACTTTCTAAACAGAGGAATATGCTTTCTGTGTCTGGAAAACATATTTATATAGTAAAAGGAGCCAACAGCCAGTGTGGGTGTGTGTGAGTTTCAAGGCAGAAAAACAGAAACACACTTGTACTAACTGTTAAAATTCAAGGTTATGTTTATTTTACATAGCTCACAGAATTCTCAAATTCATATCATATGATTCCTCGTCAAATTTACCCTCAGAATATCTTTACTTAAAAGGGTCTGGAAACATATTCCATTAGTTTTGTGCGAGTTGTCGGGTGATGCAAGGTCAGTTCATGGAATTTATTTATTTAGGCATTTTTATATAGCGCTTACCTTAAAGCTCTAAGCGCTTTACAATTATTAAAAACATGTAAACTAACTACAATAAAAATGAGACATTAGGATAGTAACTACTATACTATAGAAACAATTAAAATGGCTATAAAACGAGGACACTTTGGCACGTTTTGGCCTATATTACAGGATTAACCCGAGACAGAAAATGAGGCAGGGCAAGGAGGGTGCATCACAGGTCATAGGCGGACCTAAACAGATGGGTTTTAAGGGACTTTTTAAAAGTGGACGAGGTTTCACAATGACGGATATGGAAGGGGAGCTGGTTCCAGAACGTGGGCCCATGGAAGTAGAAGGAGCGTTCACCGATGGTCTTAGTTTTGGTTCTTGGGATTGAGAGGATTGAATTAGTCATTGGAGTTCAGTTGTCAGTATGTAATCATTGTTGTGAGAAAAGGTGCAAGGCCTCGTTTGTCAGTGAGATGAGAGTGGTCTGAGAATAAGAGTAAGTGTAGTGAAGATTTTAAAGAGAACTTTTTGTGAACTCCCAATTGCTGTTTAAGGATCCTGTCTTACTTTCAGAGTATGTTGTTGTTCTTAAGTATGGACCAGTGTGGCTGTGTGTTGTACTTAAGTATGGACCAAGTGTGGCTGTGTGTTGTTCTTAAGTATGGACCAGTGTGGCTGTGTGTTGTACTTAAGTATGGACCAAGTGTGGCTGTGTGTTGTTCTTAAGTATGGACCAAGTGTGGCTGTGTGTTGTACTTAAGTATGGACCAAGTGTTGCTGTGTGTTGTTCTTAAGTATGGACAAAGTGTGGCTGTGTGTTGTACTTAAGTATGGACCAAGTGTGGCTGTGTGTTGTTCTTAAGTATGGACCAAGTGTGGCTGTGTGTTGTTCCTAAGAATGGACCAAGTGTGGCTGTGTGTTGTTCCTAAGTATGGACCAAGTGTGGCTGTGTGTTTTTATTAAGAATGGACCAAGTGTGGCTGTGTGTTGTTCTTAAGTATGGACCAAGTGTGGCTGTGTGTTGTTCTTAAGTATGGACCAAGTGTGGCTGTGTGTTGTTCCTAAGTATGGACCAAGTGTGGCTGTGTGTTGTTCCTAAGTATGGACCAAGTGTGGCTGTGTGTTGTTCCTAAGTATGGACCAAGTGTGGCTGTGTGTTGTTCCTAAGTATGGACCAAGTGTGGCTGTGTGTTGTTCCTAAGTATGGACCAAGTGTGGCTGTGTGTTGTTCCTAAGTATGGACCAAGTGTGGCTGTGTTGTAGTGAAGTTAGACAAGGGTGCCAGAGATAAAAAAAAAAGTCCATTGTAACATTCAATGCACTGACCTTCCTTCAGAAAGCAGTTGGTAACATTTTGATGCGCAGACGTTCTCTAACAAAAAAGATCATATTTAAAGTCATGGTCTGTAAGGCAATGTCATGGTCTGTAAGGCAATGTCATGGTCTGTAGGGCAAAGTCATGGTCTGTAAGGCAATGTCATGGTCTGTAAGGCAAAGTCATGGTCTGTAAGGCAATGTCATGGTCTGTAAGGCAATGTCATGGTCTGTAAGGCAATGTCATGGTCTGTAAGGCAATGTCATGGTCTGTAAGGCAATGTCATGGTCTGTAAGGCAATGTCATGGTCTGTAAGGCAAAGTCATGGTCTGTAAGGCAAAGTCATGGTCTGTAAGGCAAAGTCATGGTCTGTAAGGCAATGTCATGGTCTGTAAGGCAATGTCATGGTCTGTAAGGCAATGTCATGGTCTGTAAGGCAAAGTCATGGTCTGTAAGGCAATGTCATGGTCTGTAGGGCAAAGTCATGGTCTGTAAGGCAATGTCATGGTCTGTAAGGCAAAGTCATGGTCTGTAAGGCAAAGTCATGGTCTGTAAGGCAATGTCATGGTCTGTAAGGCAATGTCATGGTCTGTAAGGCAATGTCATGGTCTGTAGGGCAAAGTCATGGTCTGTAAGGCAATGTCATGGTCTGTAAGGCAAAGTCTGTCATGGCTTGTATGACAATGTCATTGGGGGAGGGAGGTTTGTTGATTTTGATGCCTACGGCGGGGGAGGGCCTCATCAGAAAATATGTTTGTTTATTCCCAAATTCTGGAATAATTATTCTTAAGCTCATAGAGGCATTAGTAAATAGCCCATGTGTATCTGTAACACTTACGAGATATCAAAGGATGTGTATTCCACAGGGCTCGGACACAAGTCAATAATACTTATTGAACAGTTGACCTTTGTTCATGTGTTCATGCAATTATTTTGTTTAGCTGTGCCAGTTATACTTAACATTTTCAGATTCTCGTTGCCGAATTAAGGTTTCCAGGGTGATGTTATATTCTAACATGTACACTTGAAAATGGCAAATTCATTTTTTTTAAATTAAAGGATTGGGTAAAAATGTAGGAAACATGTATGTAAGTCATTAAGCACAACAAGAAACCATTTGTAGGAGCTTCTGCAAACAGTTATGACTCATGGGAGTGACTGCTTTGCACCAGGTCTGCTCCATGTGTCCTGACACATTGGATTCAAAGAGAAAATAAATGTGTCTGAAAGGCTTTGAGAAAGCTGCAGCTTCAAGGTGGATGCAGCACACATTTTTTTTGACTGTGACCTAATTTTGTCTATAGGTTTATTTGAAGAATGCACAGGGGCAGGGGTGTCCAATAAGAATGTGTGCGACAAGGGCAAGGGGCGTCCAATAAGAATGTGTGCAACAGGGGCAAGGGACGTCCAATAAGAATGTGTGCAACAGGAGAAAGGGGTGTCCAATAAGAATGTGTGCTACAGGGGGAAGGGGTGTCTAATAAGAATGTGTTTTTTTTAGCTTAATATATATGACTCCATAAGAAAATTTCATGGTCTGTATGACTTACCTTTATAAATTAAATTGGATAAATTAGGAAGACTCAGAATCTGAAAAATATTTTCAAAAATCACTAACATTTTAAAAGCATCTTGCAAGAAAACTAGTATAATAAAAATACTACATTTTAATAACTATTATAATTATAATGCCAATACATTTAACTATTTTAAACCAAATAAAAATTTCACGATAATTAGGTATTCTAAATGCAGACCTATTTACTCTTAAAATCGTACAATATCATCACAAAATCGTTCAATACATTATCTTAATATGGGTAGTACAAAAATAAATATAAAGTATATATAATGTATACAACGCAAAATCGTACATTGTTCGCCAAAATCGTAAGAGTAAACAGATCTGTAAATAGCTGCCGAAATGTAAAAAAAACTAGAATTTTAGAATAATGTAAACACATTCAAGTTTTTGCACCCTAGAACCCAGATGATCTTATAAGCATATAAGACTGGACCAACCTATCCTAGACACCCTTTAGTCCATAATTATTGCACTATTAAACTTGACCAACTTTCCCTAGACAAACTGTAAACCACATAGGAACTGTAAGACTTAACCAATGTACCCTAGACACCCTATAGACCATATAGGCACTGTATGGTGATGTCATGTCCATTCTGTAGATGCGAGGAATGAACTCTGATGTCAGAACAGTGTAGAACAGCAAATTGTCTTCCACAAAGCTATCCCTGCGAGTGACATAAATTATTGTACATCATTAAAATATTTCTCTAGCGGCTGAGTGGCTCTTAAAGAAAGATACAAGTAAAATATGCCCACTCAATGTTTAAAATCTCAGCAACAGCTAATGTACATGCCGGACTATTAGTAATGTGAACCCTTGCACTTTTCTAAACTTACTTGTATTTTAAGTATACATATTCTAGGTACACAGGATGCTTAAGTACATAGGACTTTAGCACCCCACCCCCCCCCTTACATTTGATACATTTATCATGTATGCTTTATTTTATATTGGTGAATTTTTTTAAAGTGACATTTTTTAATATATTTTTTTACCTCCCTTTACCATTTCTTTTTTTTTTAATGTGAGAAAATGCCTTTTCATGACAATAAATTCAAATGATTTAATTATTTTTTACCCTAGAAAATATTGAGTCTGTTCTCTACATTTGTGTGTTGGTGTTGAGTTTAAGTGAGCGAGTTTAACCCACGAACTGTTGACGATATTTTCTCTTCCAAATCTGTGTTGACCGATTTTATCGGCCGATAAAAATTGCGTTGAAAGAATAAGTTCTAGTCCAATATTTTACACCAAATAAAACTACTTCCTTTTAATAATAAATGAACTTCCGTTTTTCGGTCTTCTGTGTCCTTTTTTTAAACTTTGGAGTTATTTTTACAACGATCTTTATCAAGCCAATTTGTGTCAGTAGATTTTCGAGAAGTGGACCATCTAGCTTTCAAAATAAATCAGTTAGGAATCATTTTGATATTTTTTTTAGTTAAAGACTTAAATGATTCTGAAGATAATTTTCCTATCACACATGAAGACAATGATAATTCCGATTTTTTTCTAGTGGGTCAGAAAGTGAAAGTTCGGACGATTTAGACATATGCTGCAACAACAGGACTCGTTCAAAACTACATTGCAGTTGATTGTGTACCAACAAAAAATAATTGGATGTTTGTCTGTATATATTTTCTTATATTTCATTTTATGGATTAAATATTTATATACCAGCTTTTTAAATTGTATATGTTTCTTGCTATTTAGTAATGTTTATATTGTTTATGTCGTGCTTTGTTACTTAAACATAATTATAGGTATCAGAAGAAATTTTTTTTTTATTCTATTAAAACATATACAAATTATACATTTTCTGAAAGATAAATAAAAATTCTATCATATTATATAAAAATAATAATAATATGCCTTTAAAAAAATGTAATTTGAAGTACTTAAAAAGAAAAATTTTCATTATTTTTTACATCAAGGTCAAGGTCAGCGAGTATAAAATATCATTAAAAAATAGCCAGTATGATTCCCCAATCAGTCTACTTTCAATAAACATATACTTTATGGAGTCTAGCTATAGTTTATGCATGTGGAAAAATCACATTTTTCAAAGGCACCCAAAAAGCTCTATATTGCCTGCACAGTTCAGAAACATTCAATGGACAGTTGGACAGTTTGTGGGTTAAGTAATATACTTTTAGAGATATAACCTTACAAAAATTGCATTTTTGAGGGCGGCAAAAAAAAATGTTCAAAACACTAAGACTTCAAAAATGAGCTTTTTTTTTAAAACTAATTGAGATATATAACGCCATTTTTAGAATCATGAGATCTTGACAGAACAGAATTAATTAGAAAAGCTATAGGACCATTTTGAAAAATTAGTTTAAGGTACCTACTGTAAGTGTATTGAATTTAAATAAAGTTTATCCTTCTTGACAAAGTTATTGAGTTTACTATTTTACAACCTTATGTTTCACTGTTTTGAGGACAAAAGAATCAAATTAACACATTGCATTATACGTAGAAATGGCGCTGTATGGCTTTTTTAACCCTAGAACTGTCTGAATGGCCGATGCTCGCCGTTGTACTCCTTTCTAAGGGGTCACAGCCGATATAATCAGCAGCTAAAATCATTATTAAAAATGCAAATTGATTTCATATAAAATGTTTAAGGAGAACTCCCTCAATATAAATGAGTTTGCTTCCTATTTCTGTTACTTTCAGTGTGTGGACATGCATTTATCAATATCAGGCACTTTTTTGGGATCTATCGGGCGTGATATTTTCTCAAATTTTTTCACTGCCATAATGTCTGATGCCGGAGAGGCCCCCCCCCCCCCCCACTCTTTGGGATTTCAAAATTAACACAGAATTTATTTATTGGAATTATTTAATATATATTAAAATGAAAGCAAAGATATCAGAGATATTCCACACGCTAGTATTGACAGCATAGGCTCTAGCGGTGATGTTGGGATAGGAGTCAGAAATTGACAATTTCATCTCTAAACTTATTGTTACAAATTCATTTGGGAAAGGGTCTCTGAATTCATTTAGTCTGGGATTTTTTCATTCTTGACGAGCATATGAAATTGCTAAAAATGGCTTGACGCTATAGACATTTGTTCTTGACAGTTATAGGGTTAAACAGAAATTTAGAGGTTCACATTATAAGTAGAGCACATTTTATGCTGTAATAAAAATATAGGGTAGTTTAAACCAGTTATGTTTTAATCAGTGATGTAGTTAATAAGTGGTAGAGTTAATCAGAAGTGTAGCGAACCAAGTTTCACATGTATCTGTCTGGCCAACAAAACTTACCATTTATTCTCCACGAGTTTGCCAATACTAACATCTGTGTCTGAGTGTTGGGCTAACAACAATCCACCTTTAACAAAGACAATGTAACGCCAGGGCTGTATGTAACTCAGCCATATTTCAAGAACCTGTTAAATATAACATGGGTGCCTTTATATCACAAACCTGTTAAACATAACATGGGCGCCTTTATATCATAAACCTGTTAAATATAACATGGGCGCCTTTATATCACAAACCTGTTAAACATAACATGGGTGCCTTTATATCACAAACCCTGTCAAATATTACATGGGTGCCTTTATATCACAAATCCTGTCAAATATTACATGGGTGCCTTTATATCACAAAACATGTCAAATATTACATCTCTTTGTAATTATTTTGTAACATTAAAAGACAAAACTGACTATATGGCCATCTACTTAAAATGTTGGCATGATATAGGGTAAAGTAATAAAAGACATCCCAGTTTTACCATTCTAAAGTAGGAATCAAGGGGCCATCTGCTGAAGGCATGGCGGAGAAATGTATACAACTTTTTCTGTAGAATGTGAGGAATCACAGATCTGTGAGAAGTGACAAATATAACAGAAAAATAAATAGTGGAAAATTAACTGTTGTAAATTAACTGGAAAACTATGACATATCAAACCATTATGTGGGGAGAAATTATCCCACTTTGTCCACTATGTGCTGGGTAAAAATAGTTCAACTCTCACAAATGACTCTAACATGTACATTGGATGCCTGCAATAAGCAGTGTCTATAAAATTAGAGAGCGTTAATACCAGGTTAGGTTAATGTGGAGTTTTACAATATGGCCTAGGAAGAATTTATATTATTTTTCACATATTTAAACAAATATTCATATTATGCGAAGTTACAAAATGTTCAGGAGTCATGCTGTTAAATATTTCTTTATGGTTGAATATTTCCGCGTTGTCTAGGGTGTATGAATCTCGCCTGGCTCAGTCCTAAAATTCCCAATGGCGGCTTCTCTCTCACATAATAAACACAAGGTCCATTGTAACTATACAATACTTTATTATATGCTATACAAATCAGGATACTGTTATTCAATAGAATATGGCGCGTGAAATATACATCAGTACAACTACCAACTATCCATTCTCCTAGCACTACTTCTCGACTAACGTGTCACTCTCTCATATCACTACTAACAACCAACTAACACATGACTGACAACTTTTGACGACCAACCAACACACAGCCCTTTTATATCACCCCCCTAACAACCCAGCCTGCACAACTCAAGAACATGAACCGACCTCACGCTCTGACCTCATGACTGACAACTTTTGACGACTAACGACCAACCAACACACAGCCCTTTTATATCACCGCCCAAACAACCCAGCCTGCACAACTCAAGAACATGAACCGACCTCACGCTCTGACCTCATGACTTACAACTCACAAAACAGTCTCACGATCAACAACTCCCCCTACCCAACATTCACAACAATCCAGTTCACAACACATGCCTTGACCAAATAATATTTTAATAGGCATTAAAGCAGGGTTTCAATGTCTAGGACTGTGGTGACTGATATTTTTGGCACTCTTCATCCACCCTAACACTCAGGCAATGATTCAAAAGAAAATACCTTTTAAACTGGTCCAGGGGTGACTGGAGGTTTTGTTGGAAAGGTGAGGTCAAGCTTGAAGTGGCACTATTGGCAAAGTAATGCATGTACTTGACCAGAAGTCGAACCATCTTAATGTGATTTATGGTTGGCATAAACTGATCCTGTAAGTGTTCAAAGAAACAAAATCAGTTCTTGAATACAATAAAAGTTAACTTCATTATACTCTGATTAATTCTTACATGAATTTAATACAAAACATTTATTTTATCTATAAGAGGTTATGAAGTCACTAAAACATTATTTTCCCAAGCTTTTTGTTTGATTTGGTTTCATCAAGATTTAATTAAGCCCAGTGGCAAAAATAATTGACCACCATAAATGCCATTTACTAGCATAACATGAATTTGACTACTGCATTAGCTATTGACTGGTATAATAGGAAATTGACTATGCCATACGAGACAGCGATAAAAAGTCATTGACTACAAGAATAGGATATTACATATTATATGTTACATATTATATGCCACTGGCTACTATAATATGATGCAAAGGGTTTAAAAGCTGTACAAAGCACAGATACAACTTTCCATCCAAAATTTTATTTTAAAAACTAAATGTCTCTGAAAGTAGAATTACTCTAATTATTCTCTCAACTCATCAAACATGCATTTAGAAAGAAATAAGAATTTGAGATAATTAATATCTCAAAAAATTGTATGTACAGTATTTAGAAACATGCATTTTGAAACAAAGAACAATTAATGCAAAATATTAGTTAATTTGATTTCCCTGTGCTTGGGTAATGAATCTAAGACATATTTTAAGTGTGTATCTGTCATTTAGGGGCAGAAAATTAAATAACTCAAAATAACTGACATGATTTAACAGAATTTGTAATTAAAAAAACTTTGACATGACTTAACAGAATTTAGAATTTAAAAAAATTCTATGCCTATCACATGATTTAACAGAATTATTACTCAAGATTCTTTTACATGATTCCAATAAATTCATTCACATCAATCTTTTCAACACATCAAGTGCCCTTTGCACAAACTGTCACGTCATTGCTCTAAGATCTACTGCTAATGTAAATAATATCTATGTCAAATTTTGAAAGCATCGTATCTGCCTAGTTTATATTAGCTTTTATTGTGACAATGATGTTATAGCACTAAAATTATCTGGTATCTGCATTGAAAAAGAAAATGATTTTATAAATGTCCTAGTTAACAAGCCAAGAAAAAAAGTACCCTGACAGCAAATATGTCTGACATTAAGAAATAGAAATAATTCCTGATTTTTTTAATGGTTTATATACACACCGTTACGATAATTTAATCCTTTCAATAGGACACTGCTTAAATGACTTGCAAATTATGAAATTTAATTTAATGCTTAGGTTACCTTCTTTGGACAAACATGGAATATTAGTATATTAAAACTGTACAGGAAATCTCTACAAATAATCCCAAGATTTGACATTCCTGTTATACGCCAGAATCCACACAAGAAATGAGCAGAGATGCAGAGGAACTCTCAAGCAGGCTGAATACATTTGTCTTACTATAGCCCATACACTACCCATACATAGATTATAGTATAGCTCATCCAATACCCATACACAGAACATACTATAGCCTAATCCATAACCCATACACAGTTCTTACTATAGACCATCCACTACCCATACAAAAAATCATAGTATAGCATCATCCAATATCCATCATAGTATAGCCTAATCCAAAACCCATACTAAGATCATACTATAGACTCATTAGATAGCCATATACAAAGATAATACTATAGACTCATTAGATAGCCATACAAAGATCATACTATAGCCTAATCCAATACCTATATTGGAGCCAGTAACACATGCAATACATATATTAACCAATGTATACTTACAAACATTGACTTAAAAGGATCTCTATGCAATGCTGAAAACTTAACACAAATAGACTACCATTAAATCATAACAAAGAATACCATTAAATCATAACATAGACTACCATTAAATCCTAACAAACAATACCATTAAATCATAACATAGACTACCATTAAATCCTAACAAAGAATACCATTAAATCATAAAAGACTACCATTAAATCCTAACAAAGAATACCATTAAATCATAACAAATAAATATCCATGAAAAGTAGAATTAATAGAATTATTATCTAAAAATCCTAACATGGACTACCGTTTAATCCTAACATATACCCCATTACAAACATTGACTTAAAAGGATCTCTACATGCAATGCTGAGAACTTAACACAGACTACTATTAAATCATAATATACACTACCATAATTTGTAAAATACCCTCCCCCCCCCCCCCAATTAAATCCTAACATAAACCACCATTAAATCATTAATAATTTTGAGTTCTTCTATGTTCACTTTCAACATTACAATTACTTACAAAAGACCTATATCCCATCAGAAATAGTATATTATTACGTTGGTAGATTAAATAATTTTAGATTAAAAATACGTCTGGACAAAAATTTGTCATTTTAAAAAAATGAGGGTATTTTAAATGTTTTACAGAAACATTAGATTTTCAAACACTTTCCAAAGTTTCACAAAGTTTCAATAAAACAAGCAGCCAATAACCAGAATTTAAACACTTTCCAAAGTTTCAATAAAACAAGCAGCCAATAACCAGAATTTAAACACTTTCCAAAGTTTCAATAAAACAAGCAGCCAATAACCAGAATTTAAACACTTTCCAAAGTTTCAATAAAATAAGCAGCCAATAACCAGAATTTAAACACTTTCCAAAGTTTCAATAAAACAAGCAGCCAATAACCAGAATTTAAACACTTTCCAAAGTTTCAATAAAACAAGCAGCCAATAACCAGAATTTAAACACTTTCCAAAGTTTCAATAAAATAAGCAGCCAATAACCAGAATTTAAACACTTTCCAAAGTTTCAATAAAACAAGCAGCCAATAACCAGAATTTAAACACTTTCCAAAGTTTCAATAAAACAAGCAGCCAATAACTAGAATTTAAACACTTTCCAAAGTTTCAATAAAACAAGCAGCCAATAACCAGAATTTAAACACTTTCCAAAGTTTCAATAAAACAAGCATGCATGAACCAGAATTTAAACACTTACCAAAGTTTCAATAAAACAAGCATGCATGAACCAGAATTTTAAACACTTTCCAAAGTGTCAATAAAACAAGCATGCATGAACCAGAATTTAAACACTTTCCAAAGTTTCAATAAAACAAGCATGGATTAACCAAAGACATTTAACACTTGTTACAATTTAATTTTTAAAAGCATAACATCAACTTTAAAATTAAAGACAGCAAGCTTTACAAACTTCCGATGTGTGGTCTATTTTTCAAATCTGATAAGAAATACAAAATTTGCTTTTATTAACTTGTAACTAATACCTGAAGGCCGCTTGAGTACGAGACCAGTTCATTTCCATTAGAAGAATTCTGATTCAACCAAAACTCTGTTAACACCTGAAAATGTTTTTTAGGGGAAAAAAGATTTCAATTTATTCAGTAAAAATAAAATGCTGCTAAAATGAGGTCCACTTTAATTGTAATGCGTATTGGCATGGCTTTAATAACTTTAAAAATTTTTTTAACCATTCGAATAAAATATTGTAAAACATCACATTAATCTGACCCCATTAACGGGATCCAATTTTATAAATTCCATGGACTGCATTGTAGCTCAATTTCACTATATTTTTACGCTAAAATGTAACAATATCACAGGAAAATCAAAAACACATTTTTTTAAAATTATAGGTGAATTAGGATATTTGTATTTCTGGATAAAATGTTTTAATCAGAATCAAGTAGGGGTGTTCACTAGTAAATGTTTCTCCCTGAATATTATTATTTTTTGCAATGTGTGATTTGATAATTAGTTGTTAATGAAGGCTTTTCTGGTCTTAACTTGGTGACATATTTATTGTAATTATGACATAGTTTCTAGACTCTTTGGTGTATAGGCGCTTTTGGTTCAGCAGTTGTTGAAAGAACATTGTCGTGAATGATTGTGCATTATTTCTCCTTATAGTGTGCTAGTGAGATACCTCATACATGTTTGATTAAACATACAGCCTGATAGATATAATAAAGAATTAAAGTTTACATTGCTAATGGAAAAGGACATGTTCAGTATTATGACATATGAAAGTGTAAAAGAATTTGATGAAAGAAAGCAATCAAATACGGATACATTACAATCATTTTGAAAAAGACAAATTTTTAAAAATTCAGATTTTATTTAACAGACCTGTAAAAATGTTTCAGAGCGCCAGATTTCTGTTTCTGCTTGATCAAACACAGGCATGCTCTGCATGTGTTGCTTTTGAGCATTTAGGAAACTAGATTTAAATAAACTGCGATGAGAATTGCCAAATCCATAACCAGGTGGAGAGACTTGAACTGCAGTTTTGTTATACGGTCGACTGTATCAAAGTAAGAGTTAACATTGATTGTTTAAAAATACATAATATTTCAAAAGCAGTTTGATAAATTGAATACATGCTATATAAAAAGGTGTTTTTTTTTTTTTTTTAATAAACACTAATCAACAAAATTATTTAAAAAACCCACCCCATGCCATGATCAGTGAGGACAACTTTCAAGTAACGGACGAAAACAACAAAATTCATATTGAACTTAATTTAATTGCTAATTTTTAAAAGATTTTTATTAATTTTCCAAAATTGGCTTCTAAGTTACATAACTAGTTGATTGTTAAACTGTTCTTAAAACACAAGGCAGAGAGAAACGGAGAGAAGTTTGAGGGAAACACAACTGAATACAAACCCTGAAGCATATGATAGGATTGTTGGTCTCATTGATGGACCACTGAAGTGAGGTACGCTAGGCAATGAGTTCTTGTCACAGGGTAGGAAGTAGACAAGCATATCATCCAGAATTGTTGGGTAAACATACTCATAAAAATCACTCCAACTGTGGTTTCTTGCCTGCCAGATTGGATTCACCAATGCAAATGCCAAATGAAACACAAAAAGTTCAAATGCATCTGACTATAATTAAGGAAAAATAATAATAATTTCAGTATTTGATTTAATCTTCATAAATAAATATCAATGAAAAACAAATTTTTCAGTATACATTTTTAAAAATCAAACTTTAACCATTTACAGAGCACAGAGTTTTAATGCTTTGTTTTTCATAATGAATTTCAACGATTCTTCAAGTGATAGCGGATATTTAAAGTGACATTGAAGTTGGCTATGAATCGGGTCTAGATATTAATATTATCAGTGATATCAGCATAAGTAATGTGCACACTTCTTGGCAAAGTGTTTATAAACAGGGTATAGATGACTAAAGAATCACAAACAATATGTTGTAAATATTTGCGTTCATGTGTGGATTACTGGCAAGATTGAATTACTCATTTAACATGCGAGTCAAATAATAAATCTGCATTCATTTTCATTTATTTTGTTTTTAATTTCCCAAAACTTTGTTCACTAACGCCTTAGATTTGATGTTTTTACTAACGTAACCCTAAACCTTACTAAAAAAAACTGAAACATGTTGCCCGCTCAGAGTTTAAAAAAATAGAAATTCGTGTACCCTGTAGAGGGTTAAAAGTTAAATATGGTCAAGGATATTCAGCATAAGGACTGCTGGACTAAAGTTCTGTAGTTGTAGCTTGTTACCATAAAATGCTGGGACAGCACCTCCTTCTATCATCAATCTTGCAGGGGTCTACATCAGCGTGACATAGGGAATCAAAATAACAAACATAAGCAAACTAATGTGACAATGAGATCAAAATAACAAACATAGGCAAACTAATGTGGCAATAAGATTAACAAACAAATAAGCAAAATAAACAGAACCATTTCACTTAGCGGCAATTCAAAAAAATCAAAACCATAAGAATACAAAGATAAGATCTATGCCAATAAACAGAATAAAGAAGGATAGACAAGGGTTAAATAAAGAAATCATAGGACAACATATGAAATCCCTGATGTTTTTAAAGCACTATAGAAGTGTTCAAAGCTTATATTCACAACCAAAAGTATTTTAATCTTAAAGTTAAAATATAAAACTTTTTAATTGTTTGTTTCCTAACTTGGATGACAAAGAATACTTACAGGTATATATTTGAGGGGAAATTCATAGACTGCTGATGGGTCAGAATGTAAGGAGTTGACAACTTTCATTAGAGGACCTTCTGGTGATAACATTTTTCGAATACATTCAAATAATTCAGGATTGTTGTAGCGAGAAATTTTGTCGATTTGCCATCCTGGGTTCTTGTCCCGTTCAAAATCAAATATCTCATGAAGGAGGTAAGGAAAAGATGACTTTAACTCCTAAAGAAAAAACAACAACAAATAAATTCAGCTGAAATTAGCTACAGAAATTTAGATTATTTTATGAAGGTAACTGATTCAGGTTTAAATGTATTGTATCCTCAAAAAAAATATTATGACAATTTTCCACTTCCTTTAAATGGAAACAGTAAATCAGACTTGCCTTATTTGTTTAATATACATAGGTCTACATCTAAGAATAGATATTTTAGTTGCGTCTAAAATTAATTGGTTTTCAGAAATTTTTATCTTCTAAAGTTATAAAGCCTTTTTCGAGACCCTGAACTAAAAAGAAAACATATTTTTTTAATGGTAAAAACATGTCCTTAAATTTAAAGAAATCATTTTGAATATCTGTACAATTAACATGTGACCCCGAGAACTGTATTTTAAAAACATTGGTATAGCAGATACCTTTTAAAAAAAAAGAAAATCTAAAACCTCTTTATCCCCACTGTCATATCATCAGATTAAAAGAGATCTTCAGCAACATGTAAATGTTCAATGCCTCCCCCACCCCCTGAAATCTGTTTTTGGAAGAAGGTTCTATACACTATTTCATTAGTTTTAAATCCATATATAATAAAATTGGCTTGGGAGATAATGATATTATTGCGTGCCCCCCAAAACACACTTTTGTTTAAATTTTTTAAAAGGGACTTTTTTTGGTCCTTAAAATGTTTTTTTTGTAAAATGTAATTAGTCAAATACATTGTTCACAATTATATTTTAAATTATCGTTATACCAATATTCATGTCTGTAATGCTTTTAGGTTTAATGTCCCCCAAGTACGTACAAACTATTCAATAAAAACCCCTTCCAATGCTTCCAATGTTACTCCCCTTTGAAATGTAAGAACAGAATATTGTAAAATAAGTACTTTTATTTTGTTGTAAAAATTAAATTTGCTTTCAAATTAATATTAATACATGGATGTAAAGAATGCCAATCATAATTTTTAAATTTATTTCTTATTTATAATTTATAATAATGTTTACAGGTTTATTTATTTATCAAATTCAATTTGATTTCTGTAAAAGAACAACAAAACCGTCTATTTTTTAAATTTTGTGTGAAAAGAATCTTAATCTTTCGCAGCTACTGCACACAAATATACATGTTATTTAGAGCCGTTATCGGAAGTTTTATTCTGTGTTATCGAACTCAGCCTTACATGATGACTTTAGATTATTCTTATACATATTATTGATTACATTACAAACCTTCAAGCTTGTGGTATGAATGATCTCTTCCATTATCTGACATCTTTTGAGCAGGGGTTTATTTTGATTTGCAGTCAAACGTTCCTGGATATATTAGAAATAGGAACTTTTTCAAATAACAATCTAGTTATTGGGACTGACAGATATCAAAATTCTTTTCTTCAACAATCTGTACAAATTTACCAGCGTGCTTCCTCTGAAGTCACACATCTGAATGAGAACTAGTAAGTCCCCGATTATGCTAAGAGAACTCACTGAATTAATAATAATAAAAATAATAATAATAAGAGGTATTAATTAGCGCTGTACCGCAGCCTAGGGCTGGGCTCACCGCGCCGTACATAAAAATGTTATCAAAAGAGACATAATCATGACATGAATTGCTGTTTGAAATAATTTATTATAAATGTCTTGTGTTAAAATTGTTTTATTTTTGTGCTGAAAATGTATAATGCAATCAAAAAACATTTCCATTTATTTGGATCAATAAAAGAATCTTATCTTATCTTATAGTCTTTATATATTATTTTCAATAATTATGCAGTCGCCTTTGCTATTTTAAATTATTTTTAGAAAAAGAGCAGAATCTATTCCTTATGTTAACCACATGTGGCTGCGGAGCCAGGTATTGCCAAGCTTTGTCCTTGTTCATTACTCAATTAAGTTCACTGCTTTGAAACTATTGGAAAAATAATGCTAATTTGACCGATGCTGAAAATGAATCTTTTAGAGTATGACATCGATACTTAAACACAATAGCAAATATAAGGTATAGTGCTGTAGTTCTTAATGGGTGTGCTGTGGCACACTCACTATCGTGAAATTTCTGGGACTTTGTGATAATGCTGGTAAAAGTAATTAATATAATTTTACGCCACAATTGTTTTTAAGAAACAAAGATAAAATTCAAGAACTTCAACTTATTTTACAGAGTACTTTTAGGCTTACAACTGTACAAATCCATAAAAGTAAACTTAACAGGGCACTAAAAGAGGAGGGAAAATCTTGTTAACAACCAATGTGTTTCCATTTGGGCTTTTCATCTGGTTTTATTTTACAAACCCACACCCATTTTAACTTTAAATGCAACACAAATAAAAACATATATCATGTATGCAAAAAATAAATCATATTTGCATCCAGTCAAGTCAATGTTAATCAGTGTTTCCTCACTTGTGGTGTATACTTCACAGGTGGGCAATTTGAAGATTATAGGAAGACATTTTATAGTCTCTGGGACAGCCGCAAAGAAAAGGGGTAGAGGCATACCATATTGTACACTGGTCAATGGTGATTGTGTTAAAAATGGACTCAGATGATGAATTTTATCGGAATTTAGATGTAATCACACATATATCTATAGTTAATTGTAGTTGTAGTAATACAAATTCCTGTATGTAATTTAATAATGGGAAATAAATGTTGTCCATCTAGACAAAGTTATTGAGCTTAGTCAATTTATAACCTTATTTTTCATTGCACTAGGGAAAACGTCATGTGGATAGAAGTGTTGTTGTTTTTTTACTGTATAATATATACGCTATTTGAATATAAAGTGATAATTGGAAATAAGAATTTCACAAACAGATTTGTATTATGAATCACTACTCAAAGTATTTACTACCCTATAATGCTGTAGTTTAAGTATTAATGAATGGTGTCAATGAAACAGCACTCAGTTTCTAAATTTAGATGGCCTACCAATGCCAGATTTGGGCCGAAGGCCATTCGAACAGATCAATAGGATTAACGCTTCCTTTTGACCAATGTTGAATTTATTGCACTGCCAGTTGTGAACGTGAGTCATGTGCAGAAATATTGTCTTTCTAAATCCAATGAAGCAATGAAAAACTTTATGAAATACTGTATGGCCGTACAACTTGTAATAGTTTTTAAAACCCTACAAAGCCTGTATGGGTTAAGGTGAAAGATCATCTCAGACAGGATTTTTTTTTGTGGCAGGGGCAGCAAAATTTTGGCATGCTGTTTTGGGGGATGTAATGTAAATAAGTATAAAAGCATATTTTTTATAGTTAACCCCCTTTATTGTATGTTAGATAAGGCAATACATATATTTTTCACTTATTAATATTATAAGTGAATTTTAAGGTCTAAAATAGGCAACAAAATCGAAATTAATTTTTCTTTACGAGAACTCTTCTCTCTTCCCCCCAAGCCCCGCCCCCAAATCTCCCAAGTAACTGACATTAAACCTGTTTAACCCTCATGAGAGTTTTTTGGCAAAAAACACACCAAAAGGCTGATCTATTGGTCCAAGAATAAAAGCCTCAAGATTGGCTGCTGGTCTGCATATCAGATAATCAGATTAGTTATCATATTTCTTGTTTATCTCCCCATTTTAATGGTTATAATTTTACACTGTTCTGTCATTTTGATTCAGCTTTTTTTGTAGAGACCCCTGTAAATGATTTTTAAAAAAAGTGACCTTGAAATATGCCAAAAGCATAAGCTGCTCCAGGGAAATATTTTCTGCAGTTTTCACATTGAATCTCTCATTCATAGATGGGTTAGGACTGATATAGGCTTCAACAATCATATAATCAAATGTAATAAAATTCTGCAAGTAAGACAATTTCATTTTAAGTGTAAAAAAATAAAATGCGGGAATTAATTATACATTCAGTATATCTCATATGCATAAATGTTGAGATTTCAGTTTGATTCATAAAGATCGTATTAGTTCATTGATTCCCTATACACAAAACAGAAAACAAATGTCACCAGAAGAAATCATGCTGACCCGTAGAAATGCAAATTGCAGAATTTGAATGTGTCAGAAATTTTTAAATTCTAAGATATCTTTTGGGAACTATGACTATGAAAGAAAAATCTTCAAAAATTTGGAAGATACCGGTATGTAACAATGTAACAACTCTTCAAGAACCACTTCATATTATAAATCAAAAGATATTAGCTGAAGAAATTTATCAACTTACTTCACTTACTTTTAAATAATTTGTTAAAGCAATAACAATAATCTGAAAAGTCAAAAGTAAAGTTTATAATGTTTGTATTGGTAGAATTTTTGGGGGGTTATAAACTAAGATATTGGTTTATGTTTTAATAAAATGTCAATTAAAAAGCTGATGTACAGTTATAAAAAATTATAGCTAAAATTCCATTATTGTTTCAAGTAAAAAAACCACATTTCCAGTTTGTTATGAACCAGATTTAGGAGCATGTATGTTTGTTATGAAAGTTGTTGATCCATGCGGGTTTCAATAAGAAAAGAAACCAAATGAAGTACCACAACTTACAATTACAATATCTTTAGTTTTGCCTTAAGAACTAAAGCCTGCTTAAATTCATGGGTTAACTATGCAGCAATCCCTGAAACTTTTGATGTTCTATTGAATCTATTAGTAGTTGATAGAATAAAAGTGTAATGTCGAAGGAAGTGTTGGGGAAGCTGAATGATGGAAAAAGACTTAGAAGAAATTAAAAAAATTATTGATAATTTTAAGAACATCCAACCTGGCATTAGGCTTACTAATAATAAGCACTTTGATGAAAATTTCAAAACAAGTTTAAGAATATACACCCCAGCTGTATAGAGCCAAGAGAATAGATTACAAAAACACCAAGATTAAAGATCAACTTTCTAGCTCAAGCGGTTCAAAGGCTATGAATTTTTTAGTATGGCAGTATGGACCTCAAAACAACTTTTTCAGTATGGGGTTTTCCTCCACATTTAATGATCCTCATTTTGCTTTTGTTTTTACACCTATAACTTTATTATAAGACAAGAAAAAAATATAATATTTACAGGGAACATAGTTAAATTATTTATTTTAAATAAAGTCACTTAGTTTTTGTTAACATTCCAAATTTTTTTTTATCTTCATAATTTTACTTATTAAAAAGGCTGCAGCTATTTGGATCTCCCAGAAGTGAGAGTTTGTAAAACAAAATAAGGTATCAAATTTAAGATAATTGAATGGACTATATTTTTGTAAACTTACTTCTTCAGTTTAACTAAAATAAACTACCAAAAATGACAACCGAATAGCATTTATTCTCAAGGGACCTGGACATCCATAGCCGCTATTCGGACCTTGATGCAGAGTTGATTTTTACATAACATAACACAAAACAAAATAAAAGATAGATCAGTGGGGAAATTATACTGGTTAAACTGGAGAACGGTAAAAGTCAGGGTTGCAGCATAATAAGATGTAGAAAAAACTTGGTTGATAAAACTAGGGCAGGGTCTTGCCAGATTATTACCCATTAAGGCTGTTGACTTTTTTGACGGACAGATACAGCAATATGATATCCGACAGCATATGTTAATATAGTTACACCATATATTAGAGTTAAAGCACACTTGTGAATGTGACAGTAATCTTTGATGAGCCAGTAATTGTAATCCAGGTGCCACTAAATAATAGTAGATTAATAAGAAACGATGACGACTATACATTAGTTGCCAACACGGGTACTAAACTTGACTAAAGTGCCATGATAACTAAAGGTGCACTGGTTGAGGGAGTACCTGACAATATGTTAAAAGCTAAAGACCATCGTCTCTAGTGTAGTTAACCCTACCAATTTTTCAAAAGACCATTGTCTCTAGTGTAGTTAACCCTACCTATTTTTCAATAGAACCAAAAAAAAGACCCGTCATTAAACAAGTTCTGGGACAAAGTCAAAGCAAAGACAGGAGAACTGCACACAAAAAAAAAGTGTTAGGAAAGAGCTCCTCTATACTATAAACATAATGAGGAAAAAAACAGGTTGAATAGTCTGAATAGAACAATTGATGATCCCTAAAAACAACTTAAAATGGAAGGGACTTCATTCTCTCAAGTGAATTTGGACTACTGGCCGGATACATGTCCATAAAAATAAACAAGACTACAGAAAGGATTTATTTACAATTTCATTGGCCTGGGATAGCTAAGGACAATGAACAATACATAAAAACATGTGACATTATTTCGGTAAAGGCCAGATACACAGGACAGAGAAGAGCTGTAGTAATGTCGTAAAATTGTTGAGAAAGAATAACAATAAATTAATGAATATAATAATTGAATTATTGAGGCATTTGCTAAAGTTGAAGTAGCCATAGTCATAGATTTAGTGGGGCCCATGCAGACGACAGTCAGGAAAAATAGATTATCCTGAGACTGTCAAAAATTATCCAATTTATTCATGCAGTAAATTTTGCTTAAATTTGAAAATAATAAACTCACAATCAAGTGACAGTAGGCCGCCATTTTCCGTTGGAGTATCGAATAAATATTTAAATGATGCGCATATTTAATAATAAATGTGTAAGAAGATTATAGTATTCGATTTTAAATATCGTTCTCTACCAAGAAAATTCGTCACTCCTGATTTAAGCCGAAGTCTTATTTCCTGTTATTCGCATTTATCGGAATTATCGGTATTTTTATTTAATTATTTTTTGACATGTCATAAGTTCAACCACTTTAATAACATGGTATTTAACTACCGTTACATCAATACAAAGGTCTATAATTTTAATATAGTTTTTCCTAAGTATCAAAAGTGTGCAATCTGTAATAAAATTTTATTTCATCATAAAGGCAAACGTTAAAAGTAGGGAGAGGTGTTAATATATATTTTATACTACTATAGGTGGAAACGTACCTTAAAAAATATATTTATTATTAGCATCATTTTAAATAAACGCAGTCGTCAGTCGGTTCCATGGGTGAATACAAATAATGAACGTTTCAACGTTTATTATTAAATCAAAAGAGTTTGTGTTTTATTTAAATGTGCTACTTTAAGCAAAAAAAAAAATACTGAGCCTATATCCTATATCTATTAAATACCAAACTGATTTTCTCGTTTATATATTATATTTCATAATAATAAACATCTGCCTCACCTATTGGCACGATTATTAAAAATATTATGGATCCTATAAAGATTAAATTAATGGGCAAAACTAAGCTGGGAAAAAAAGTATACCATTAAGAGCGCCACAACTTACATGAATTTAGTTCATGTTGACCTGGGGTGGGGTTAGAGATCTCCCTCATTTTATTATCGCTAATTTTTGTGCTTCCCACCCAAAAGTCTGAAATGCCCCTATCCATATTGTCTGAAAGAAACGCTGAATTCAGGTTTACCCCAAAATGCATACCTGCACTATGAATTACTCAAATTTTTCTAAAGGGACCCCTGCCCCAGCGTTTGTTCAAAAGTCTTGGCCACCCTCAATTTCTCTTGATCATTTTGACTGTATGGGGTTGAATCTAAGCTGTGCCAAATGATTACCCTGAATAGATCCACAGCTGGAGTAAATTCAGTCTATATCTGGCAATGGGTCCAATAATGGCACCCCCGGACGCTTGAAAAAGTCCTTCCCTTGATCAAATAGTCTAAAAGAAACCGATTTACCTGGGATTCAAATTGGATTAAAAGGTGCAAATAAATAATTTTGTACAATACCTCTGCTCCCTGGCAACCGCCAAGCTCAATCTGGTGAAAAAATTGGCTTGCACAAGTTTGGGCGCAAGAACGCTTAGAGCTCTATTTTTGGGAAGTGTAGGGTCGGTGATGGATTACAGCATGCCCGTCCAATCCTTTGCAAGCAAGACCGCATTTGAAAAGTTGGCCCGAATCCAGAATCAGGCTCTGAGATTAATCTGTGGCGCATTCAGGACTACACCCACAGCTGCTGTAGAGGTCTTGGCCAATGTAGAACCATTAGATATAAGCAGGGGAAAAGAAATAACTTCAAGTGCTGTAGAGAGGTACAGATGGCTAAATGAGAAGAAACCGTCCTTTCAAATGCAGAACAACTGGGTGGCCGGCAGGCGACTAAAGATATCCTCATTCATGCAATGCACCAGTTTGTGGCGCTTGAGAGGACAGTCGACCTGCCTCGCAATAGAGACTGACTCTAATCCCAGTCAATCAGCCATACGCGGAACCCTCGCGTCCCTCCATAAATTTGGCCTTGGCCGATGCGGCAGTGACGAAGCGCAGCCCTGAACATGTTCAGAAAGCGGCTCTGCCAATCTGAGAGAAAGAACTGCTGGGTATGGTGCGCTCATACTGTACCCAGCAGTGCAGCAGGGGTCTACAAACTGTACCCTAGACCACGGATCTCCAAACTACGGCACGCTGAGACCTTTTTGTCTACAGAAAAAAATTACGGAAATTTACGTGTATCCTGCCAAGATCAGCCGCCGCTTGCGTGGACGTTATGTTTTTACCGAATTAAAATAGAGACGAGCAGTAGTGCGTTACGTTTTCCAACCGATCACTACATTGCAAAGTTGCAAGTAAGCAAATGACTTTAATGACCTCCTTACGGCAAGTTCAAAGAAGGGCTGGATAGTTTTTACCAGTTTTTGCCCAAGGAAAACTTTCCAAATGTCACAACTTTTGCATCTAGGTACCTTTCAATCTTTGGAACAACACACTTGTGTGAACAAACATTTTCAAGAATGAAATACGTGAAGAACAATTTGAGAACCAACTTGTCCGATGATCATCTCAGGTCACTTTTGATGTTAGGGAAATCAAATCAAAAGCCAGAAATGTCTGCTGTTTTTGCATCCAGGAATCAATTTCACCATTCCCACTAATACAGGTGTTCATGTTTAGTGTATCAATGTGTTATTAAATAATAACTGATTAAAATAATATTTAACAAATAATTAAAAACAACATCCGTGTTTTGATTCTTTTATATTTGGAGTCCAAGTGTGTAGTCGGCCACCGAAATGCTGTTTGATAGTTAATGTGGCTAAAAAGTTTGGAGACCCCTGCCCTAGACAACAGAAACATGGCAAAATTAGTGGGAAATAAAGAATGAATGCCATCTAGTGTACATAATTGAAAATTTATTTCACATTTCCTACATCACATGCAATAGAGAAAACACAAAGACATCCCTTATCCAAGGGAACACTACATGTATCAAATGATTGAGGTGAGGACATATCATATCACAGGATGGTATCAATATTGTCCTGGTCTTGACAGACTCTAGTGTTTCAACTATAAGCATTTCTCTATTGACTCTGTCTTCAGTTTCACTAGAGAACACAAGACTCTGGTGTAAATAGTCTGGGTATTGGGGTACTCAAGAAATGGGAAGAAATACACAAAGCCTTTAGAAGAGGGTTATACACACCACTTAAAAAGTCATGAGATGGGAAGTGTCTAAGCTAAGGACAAACCAAACTATAAGTTAAAACACTGTCCCTTACTTCCTTTAGTACTCATAAACAAATATTTAAGTTTTAAACTCCGCCAATAATCAAGCCATCCACTTTCCCCATCACTAGGTAACCATACAAAATGGATAAGTTAATTTTATCCATAAATTAAGTGTAACAATGACTGTTAATGAGAAAGACAGACATTTAAATTAAATAGATTATAAAATAGCTAGACACACTAAAACATCATGACTGGGGAAGAAGGACAATTACAGTGCACAATGTTATTGGCTTTCAAACTAAGTTTTTAATTTTTTTTTTACATGAAGATTCACCCTATAGACCAAAACAAAACACAAAAAAATTGTAAATAACTAACATCCATGGTTGGTAGGTTGGATTTAAATTTCAGTTGAAATTGATAAAGAATTTGTTTTTGATTCAGTCATTTATTTCAGTTGAGAAACTATTACAGGAGTCTGGTGAATTCAGTCAAATGAGAAAATGCATGACTACTCAGTAGTTGATGCAGATGTTTAACACTGATAACTTCCAACTAGATGTGGTTGTAGAGGTTCTTTTAATACGCATGGTTGGCCACAAAGAGAGAATCTCCAGCAGCAACACTGGGACCACCGCCCTGGTATTGGCCGACAGCAGCATCTCCATTAGCCTATTGAAACAAATGGACAAAATTATTTAAATATTTTGCATTCTCAATTTTCATGATCAACAACAATGATTAACAGGTTGGATCTTTTCAAACATATTCCAATGGAACATATGCTGACTGAGATATTAGTTTTTGTCAGGGTATTTGTACTAGCAGGTGTTGTACTTTGTGTATCTTTCCAACAACAACAACAACAATATGATGGAAGAACTCAAACAGCAGGTGTATCTTTCAAAACACCAGGTGTATCATTCACAACACGAGGTGTATCTTTCACTTGCTTAAATTTCACTCTCTATAACTTGTTTATCTACACCAATGTTTCTGAAAATGAGGTCAGCAGAACTTTTTGTTAGGGGGACTGTGAAGGGGCCACTTAGATACAAATTTTGTGAACATTGCCGCTGGTTGTTATGTCTAGTGGTGGAATCCAATTCAGTTCCCATGAGAATTGGTAAATTCACTGAATTTTGTGAACCTCTAGTATAGTGTAATAGACACACTTCTCTCTCAGAATCCAGCAGCGAGTGTGTCGAATGTTTAGGTCCACTGTGTTCCCAGAAATCTTTTGCATATTGTAAGTGTCAACAATCTGAGGAGTCATTTCAGTAAGTATCTATCTCTTAGATCTCAAACAGCCGACCTGTCAGTAGTATCTATCTCTCAGATCTCCAACAGCCGGCCTCTCAAAGCTCAAAAACTAAGAGCTAAACTTAGAGCTAACTAGAGGATGGAACCTCTCCAAATTCTCTTTGTGATGACTCACTATTTTTTTTTAGTTTAGTCCTCTGAAGGAGAAATATTGTGCATAAAAACTTTCTCCATCGTTCTTATGCCTGTCGTCTCTATCCCATTTTTTTCCTTGGTAAAGAAAATTTTCTTTTCTAAATGATGCTAGTTATACTTTGGATGTTGTACTATATTAATCAATTGACCTATTTAATCTAGTTTTTAATTGTTAAACAATATTAATTACTAATTTATAATTAAAATTTTAAGTAGATATCTTTTAGATTTTAATGCCCTCCAAAAAAGTTAATTAGATATGACGTTCCATATGACGTTAAAAAAATATTTTAAAATGTATATCAATTTCAAAACTAAGGAGCCTCCCCTTTCTCAGGAAAATAAATTAAGTCCGGAAGTAGCACTGCCCGAGGGAATGAGTGAAAAATCAACCTCTGTTACGTACCTTGGCACGTTTTAGCAACTCTTGCTGGCCTGCCTTAAAAGTTTCATCTTTACCACCCCATGCTTTCAACACACTAGCTTGTAGAGCTCGGCCATATGAGAATGTGAGCGGCCAGGGTTTGCGCCCAGGGAATTGGTTAATGGCATTTAAATTGATGGTGGCATCTTCTTCAGATTGACCGCCAGAAAGGAAAGTAATACCTGAAATTAAAAAAAATGAATTACAAAAAAATTTTT